AGTCATCGGTGGAGAACAACAGATTCTGGACCAGTCAGATGAAAGCAAACAGGAAAATGAGAGATGTGGAGACGGCTAATAAACGGTCTTATTCCAATACAACCTATTATTGTTTCTCAGTTCGACAAGCCATATTTGATCAATAGGAATGTTCGTGTTTACTTGTGATGTTGACAAAGGAATGTAAACTTTTCTTGACAAAATACAGATAGATGGTCAGCCATACTTGCAGAATTTATATACTGCTGCATTGACAAACTACATAATGTTTAAAGTTTGCATATTTAAGTATGAAACAAATGTCAGCATATTTGTTGTACGTCTACTTTACATTTTATTCACGGACTGTTATTTGTATACTTTTGATTGTTGCATTTAATAAAAACCCTTGCATTAACTTAAACCCCAAAAACAGATTAGGAAACTGCTGTTATATCACTAATGTTAAGTGATACTTAATTTTTAGAAAATGCTCTAGATGTCAAACTAAATATTATACGAGTATATAACATCTGGTTATGTCTGAAGTAAGGTTGTTGCATTTTTTAAAAATCTTTAGTACTTAATTTCAGGTTTCAATAATTATTTTTTACCAAATCAACGTTTTTTGACACTACTTCATGTTTTTCATAATTGAACATGAGTTACTAGCTGTTTTATGAGTTAGCAATCAGTTTGGAAGCACCTTCTCAAGCTCTGCTCAAGTATCTGCAAATGCTCCATAATTGTTTTCGTACACGTTTTGGGAAAAAAAAGAAAAGTGCTACACAGTTTCTTAAATCTTGGAAATTACGCGACACAAAAGAAAAGGTTATACAAAAGAAAGTCATTAATTTTCGAGTGAACTATCTCTTTAACATTAAAAACATGTGGAAATGAGAAGACTGCTGAAATGGGTGAGATCCCTTCTGTTTACGCTATAAATAAAAAAATATTTTCATTCTAGAACAAAATAGGAGCTTTATTGCTGATAGAAAAAAAGTGAAGGACAATTAGAAACTGATTAATTCATACGTTTTCAATCTTATTACGAAGTGCAATTGTGAAATAAAACAACACTTAGTGATTGTGGTCAGAAATGGCATAAATATCTTCTTTTTTTTTTTTTGCAAGTTTCCATATTAAAAATGGTATTACCAATTCATCTTGATTAGCTCAGTTCACATATTCAACATATTTGGTTTAACCTTATGGATTACAGAACACAGAAAGAAAGGCCGACAAACTAAAGTAAAACTGATGCTGGAGGTTTCTGTACAGTAATTTGAATGTACTGCATATTACAAACAAATGTACTTTATTAATACACATTCTTGCTCTTACTGTGAATGAGTCATCAGTGCACATTATTTAACAGAACTAAAAATATGTCTTTATAATATTTTATCAAAAGTAAAAATGACTTGAATGTTTTCAGCTAATGCCACCAAAGCTGGTTAAGTTTCGACTGTCGGGTGCTAGTGGTGTTTCAGGCAGGGTGTAGTCCTCCATAATCAACAGCAAACTCTTGTATGAAACGCCCACTGTTCTCAATCTAATCAAACCTCCCCGCAACATTTTCATGTTGTGTTACAAAACTGATGAAACTATGAAAGTAATTGTTGCAAGTAGAAAGAGTTGCAAATGTCAATAATGTCATGGTGACTTTTGGTCTGTTCCAAATCAACCATACAAGCATTCCCAGAATGCACCAGAAGAAGTTTGGATGGGTGAATTATCTGACCTATAAAGAAGGTCTAATGAATGTTCAGTCTGACTTCCTCCTCTAGGCTTTAATGTTTTACCGATCTGAAAGAGGTGCATTAACTTAAATGACAATAACGGAGTAGAAAAATGTTATTTACATTAAAAAAATATATATATGTACAATTTACAAGACAGATGCAGACTTGGGAAACCCAAAACAGAATGATATATGAACTGTCATCAGGCACTTTCCACAAAGAGGCCAAAAAACAAACAAAACAAAAATGGTGAGAATTAAGCATATATATATATATATATATATATATATAGTGCTGGAATGGGTAAGCTTGGTTTATAGATATCGATAAACTTCACAACAGTTTGATATATATATATATATATATTTCAAACCGTTGTGAAGGAAATGAACCCTATTTGTGGAAAGTGCCACCAATTAAAGTATTTATAATTAAAGACAAAAAAATATGTAAAAAAGAAAACTACCCACTGGTATTTTAGTGGCATGCTGTACATAAATGTTTCATCAACAGCTGCCATGGTAATGCTATAATGTTAGCTTATTTTATCGGATGGAGTGTTTTTTCTTCTGAAAAATCCAGTGAGATCCTGATGTGAATTTGTAGTAGTTGTATCCAGAACACGTCCTGTACATTTTGGTTCCCTTTGACTTCTATTGTATGGATGAAGAAAAAAAAGGCAGTCAATGGCTACCAGCATCTGATTACCAACATTCTTCAAAATACTTCTTTTATGTTCCACAGAAGAAAGAAAGTCATACAGGTTTGATGACATGAAGGTGAGCAAATGATGACAGAATAATCACTTTTGGGTGGACTATCCCTAAGTATTGCGGGTTTACCAACCGGGACCCATGCAGGACTCAGATCCGGATTGAGTGTGCTGACCGGAGAGTGGCCACTTGTGGAGAAAAATCTCGTTTTTGTAATCATTTGTGTACATCCTGTGTCTTCCGAGCTCCGCGATCCTGCTGGAGCTCATCGGGCTGTAGTCCATGGAGACCCCCGAGTCTGCGACCGCCATGTAGGTGTATCCCGGCCCTTTGGGGGGCCACGTGTGGTTGGGATACTCGAAGCTGGATTGGGACGACAGTCTACCCGAACCCGAGCTCTGCTGGAGGGAGCCGAGGTCGGAGTGCGAGGTGTTCAAGGACGTCGTTCCTGCGGTGGTAAAGAGCGTCTGGAGCGGTAACGTCTCCTCGAAGACATCGTCCACCTGTCGCTCGTCGTCTCCTTGGGAGTTTTGATTGAGAGTGACGTAGGTTTCATGTGACTGCAGTAACAATGACTGGGAAAGAGATTCGGGGTTTTCTGCAGAGCAGAGCAGACGGCCAGGGCCTGTGCAGGGTCATGGTCTCCTTTCAGTCTGAACGTGAAGGCAGTCGGGACAGTGAAGCGCTGGCACCTGAGCTTCTCCTCTCTGTGCTGGACCGTTACCTGCGGGTGAGGTGCACGTTAGAGGAAGTGAAGCGTGACGGGGAGGCGGGGCAGAACGAGTGGCAGGTGTATCTGTCAGTCGTGTGCCCTTCACAGGTACAGCAGTGGCACATGGTGCTGCAGACAGGAGGTGCTCTGGAGTTCAGCCCAGTCATCGGTGGAGAACAGCAGATTCTGGACCAGCCAGATGAAAGCAAACAGGAAAATGAGAGATGTGGAGACAACTAATAAAAGTTCATATTACAATACAACCTATTTTGATTGGTCAGTTTTGACAAGCCAT